CCCGCCCCCGCCCCCCAGCGCTGTGCACTCTGCACATGGCTCCTGCATTGTTTGCTGATTGCAGAAACAAGCGAAAAGCTCTATGGATGTAGTGCTAGCGCCTCGCTCTTCTCCCAGGGCCGCGTCCCCTCCCTCCGTGCAAAGGGACCTCCTCCCTGGGTGTCTCACTCTCAGCGGGTGTTCACACACACACACACACACACACACACACACACACACACACACCCTACCCCTGCTCACTTGCAAGGCCATGGGTTTTTTTCTTTTTTAGCCCCCTATCCTAGGTCTAGTAGTCTCCAACTGCCGCCTTCCAATCAAAGTCCTCCATTTCCATTACTTCCATCACAGAAGGGTGACCTACACAGTAGAAACAACAACGTAGCGGGGCCTGGTGGCAGCTTCCTGTAACTCACCTACTCAGGACAAAGGTAGAAAGTTCAAGGCCAGCCTGGGAAAAAGTGAAACTCTGCCTTAAAAATAAAAGAATGGGAGAGATGGCTTACTGGGTAAACATACTTGCTGCCAAACATGATGACCTGAGTTTGATCCCCAGGACTTCTACATGGTAGAAGGACAGAATCAACTCCTCCAAGTTGTACACATAAACTATTGTAATTTTTTTTTTAAGCCAGGCATAGTGTTGCACTCCCTTAATCCCAGCACTCAGGAGGCAGAGACAGATGATCCCTTTGTGTTCAAGGCCAGTTTGGTCTACATAGTGAGTTCCAGGCCAGCTGGGGCTACAGGGAGACCCTATCTCAAAAGAAAAAAAAAAAAAAAAAAAAGGCTGGAGGACTGGGATGTAACTCAGTTGGTAGAGTGCTTGCCTAGGAGGCACTAAACCCTAACCTCCATCCCCAGCACCACATAAACTGGATGTGGTGACATCTCTGTGGATGGAGTCCTGAGTACCTGAAGGCCAAGGTTATCCTCAGCTATATATTTAGTAGGAAGCGTCTGAGCTACATAAGATCTTGCCTCAAAAATATAAACTTTAAAAAGTAAAAATAAAAAGAGAGTCTGGATGCAGCTTAGTGGTAGAGCACCTGCCCAGAATCCCTAAGTGAGGTGTGGGGGGTCCTGATGGCTTAGCAGGAACCCAGGGTACAGAGGAAGAGTGAGATGCAACAACGAATCCTTCAACTTATCTTGCTAGGGTACATTGGGTTTTTTTGTTGTTGTTGGGTTTTGTTTTTGTTTTTTTCGGTCTTTTTGAGACAGGGTCTCCCTGTAGCCCCAGCTGTCCTGGATTCTCTATGGAGACCAGGGTGGACTCAAACTCACAGAGACCCGCCTGCCTCTGCCTCCCAAGTGCTGGGATTAAAGGCATGCACCACCATGCCTGGCAGGGTACATTGTTATATTACATTTCAAGTTTCTCTTTTCTGCACCTCTGACTTGACCCATGTGCACAAGTGTCTCCAGAATGAACCCTGGGTGTTCTGTTCCCTCCCTCCCCACTGTCCTGGCTAGATAGACTGCTAGGAGCCTCCTCTGCAAGCTGGCGTCCACACCAGTGCCACAGTAGTCAGTGGATCTTTGGTTCTATAGCATGTTGACTGGCAACTTCTAGCCAAAAAAGTAGGGCCGGTCCTAGGCTAGGCACCTCTCCAGTCTATCAGGGTCATTTATTTGACATTTCTCTCTAGTCCATGGAGGTTATTTATCTCATATTTGCTAAGTGGTTTGTCTTTTCCTCCACAACCAAGGGGTTGAGTCAGGTGGCCCCACCTGGCTATGCATTTGTTGGACCAGAGAATATAAGAGCACTTTAAAAAAATTATTTTACTACTGCTTTTAATTTTTTCTGGGGGCAGGTCTAGCCTCCACCCCCATCCCTAGCACTTTCTTTTCTTCCGTTTCAGGCAAGATCTTACTAAGTTGTCCAGACTGACTTTGAACTCATTCTGTAGCCCAGGCAGGCCTTGAACTTTTCATCCCTCCTTCCCCCTCCCAAGCAGCTGGGATTACAGGCCTGTGCCATCACAGGGGTTCTAGAAGCTACCGCACATTTTCACTCTGTCACCAGAGAGAGGATACTGAAGGTCATACTGAACGCAGCTCTGGCTAAAAGTGCTCCTGGGCAGCCACAACACAGATGGCAGACTGTCTTCAGCTTTCCTGGGTTCTAGAATTGCTAAGGCTGTTGGCCTACTGATCCTACTAGCCTTTTGTTTGTTGCTTATTTTGGAGTTTGGGAATAAGGTCCTTTTTTTTTTTTTTTTTTTTTTTGTCTTTTTGAGACAGGGTCTCCCTGTAGCCCCAGCTGTCCTGGAACTCACTATGTAGACCAGGCTGGCCTTGCACTCACAGAGATCCACCTGCCTCTGCCTCCCAAGTGCTGGGATTAAAGGCGTGCACCATCAAGCCTTCTATTTAGCCTAGACTGGCTTGAAAGTTGGTAATCCTCCTGCTCTCAGTTTACCAAGTGCTAGGCATAAGGGCTTGAGCCACCACACCTGACTCTCATTGTGCTGGCCTTGAAGGGAAAGGGTTGCAGTTCAGCCTGTCCCTTGAAACCCTTGTGACTGGCAGGGTGACTTCTCTGCCTGCACAACAGGAGGGAGGAGGCCACAGAGAACCAGCCCCAGCCAGACTCTGCTGGTGCTGTGATCTCTCCCTGTCTGCTCCTTCCTGGTTCCATGTTCTAGGTGGTGATGTGATATCCTGTCCTGGGAGGGGAAGACTATGCCCTGGGTGGGCCGAGGAGCTAGAACAGAGCTGGTGAGAGGTGGCACTCAGTCTGAGGACCCATCCTGTATTCCAGCCTCTCTCCCCCTCCCCCAATTCCCTGTCGCTGAGCAGGCTAACACCCCCCCTCCTTCTCTTTCTCCCCCAGAGACTAGAAGAACAACATCGACACCGCCCCTCGCCCTGGAGGGCCATATACAATCTCTTCATGGGACTCCTGCCCTTACCCAGGGACCCCAGAGCCCCAGAGATGGAGCCCAACTAGGTGCTGACACCTGTCCAGGGGACTTCCTGGATGTGGGGGCAGGACCCTCCACCTTCTGACTCCCTGGCCAGAGCAGGGGACTTTTTCTGCAACGTGTAGCATACTGGGCTGCTAACCCTGCCTGTGCCAGGGGCAGACGTCAGAAGCCACTGCAGCCGGGCAGCCTGGATGCACTGATGGAGATACAGACTCGGGGACCCTGGCCTCCCGAAAGCCAGGGGAGGGAGGGCTGACGGACTCACGGTGACCGAGGGGGTGGGGACTGAGCCACCCGCCTCTGCCGCCCACCACCATCTCAGGAAAGGGTGCTGGTGCTGGCTGCCCGTTCCAGCTGCAGGGGGGGGACACTGGGGGTGTCCCCAGTGCGCCTTCACTTTGGGCCTGGACTCAGGGCCCTGGTGCTTCCCCCCTCCTCCTGGGGAGGGGGCCTGTGAAGAGCATATGAGCCAAACCTGACCACTAGCCTCCTGGAGCCAGAGAATGGGGAGTGTGTGACAGCCTCCCCAACCCAGCCCCCAGCCATCTTCCCTGAGCCGCCGGCTGGCGGTGGACAATGTCCGCCTCACCTTCGTCTGGGGGTGGCCAGGAGGGGCCCAGACTGTGAATCCTGTGCTCTGCCCAGGACCACCCCCCCCAGACCCCATCCATCCCATCGCATAGGTTTAGAGAGAGCACGTGTGACCACTGGCGTTCATTTGGGGGGTGGGATATTTGGCAGAAGCCGCCCCAGCCTTAGTCCCCAAGGCAAAGCGCTGGGGGGAAGATGGGGAGTCAGGGAGGGGGGGAGTCTCAGAAGAGGGAGGAGTCTGGGAGTGGGGAGGGAAGGCCCAGCCTGTAAAATACTGTACATGCGCTGCTGTAGATACTGGAATGAATTTTCTGTACATGTTTGGTTAATTTTTTTTGTACATGATTTTTGTATGTTTCCTTTTCAATAAAATCAGATTGGAACAGTGGACACTCTTTTTGCTCACCTTTCCCCATGTCAGGGGCTCTGCACAGGAAGGAGGTGTCAGGCAAACTGGAGGCTGGTTTGATGGCATAGGCCTGTTAATCCAGCTACTTCAGAGGCTGAGGCAGGTTGATCTTAAGTTTAAAGCAAGCCTGAGCAACTAAGTGAAACCCTGTCTCAAAAAGTAGTAAGTGAGCTGGAGATGTGGCTCAGTGGTAGAGCACCTGCCTAGAATCCCCCAGTGAGGGGCTGGAGATGTGGCTCTGGCTCAGTGATAGAGTCCCTGCCTCGAATCCCCCAGTGAGGAGCTGGGGTGTGGCTCAGTGGTAGAGCACCTGCCTAGAATCCCCCAGTGAGGAGCTGGGGTGTGGCTCAGTGGTAGAGCACCTGCCTAGAATCCCCCAGTGAGGGGCTGGGGTGTGGCACAGAGGTAGAGCCCCTGCCTAGAATCCCCCCGTGAGGGGCTGGGGGGGGGCTCCGTGGCTGAGTCCCCGCCTAGAATCCCCCAGTGAGGGGCTGGAGATGTGGCTCAGTGGTAGAGCACCTGCCTAGAATCCACCAGTGAGGGGGTGGGGGGCATGATTCAGGGGGTCCTGAACAAAGTCCTGGGTTCAGTCACCGATACTAAGAGATAAAAAAGAAGTCAGGTTGAGAGAGAGGCACACAAGGTACAACCACAGAGCTTGTACCCACTCCTGCAGCCTTAGGAAGACGAGCTCCTTGTGGGCAGAGGGTTTAGTACTTTATCCTTATTAATCCAACTGGGTAAATGATGTGATCAGGGCTTGTGATTGAATGAATGACCCATGGTTTAGAAGCCACTGTTGCAAGAGCTGGGACAAGTTGGTTATGAGACAGATGCATTCCTGCCCTGATAGAAGTGGAAGGGGATGTCTAGCCTCACCCTGTGATCAGCCTCAGGCTGCCTCTGTGGCAGGAAGAGCACCTCAAGCTAAGATCAGAGCCAGGCTTTCCTTGCACGGCTGCCCTAAGGCTGTGCACACTGCCAGCACACAAAACCCGCATTGCATTACTGTGAGGAAGGGGAGTTTGTTCCAAGAGTTTCCTAAAAACTGACCCAGTGCTGTCCTTGAGCCTGGCCAAGACCGCAGGGAGAAGCAGAATTAGGCCCCAGCACTGCCCCTTTGTGGTGATCGGTGTTACTAACACACAAGCTCAAGGAAACTGGTCTTTTAAAGGGCTGGGGCATGGGAGGGGAAGTTGATGAAATGCTACCCACTGCCCTCCTGGGCATCTCTTTTAGACAAGCATGGGTGTGCTCACTGCAAAACTGCACATGGAAGGACTCTGGTCTAACTACATGAGAATAACACAATTAGCTCCGTCAATCACGGAAAGTTCAGTTAGTCTGAAAATGTTACATGAAAAATTCAGGACTGGTGAGATGGCTCGAAGGGTAATGGTGCTTGCCACCAAGCCTGATGACCTGAGTTCAATCCCTGGAACCCACATAGTGGAAGGAGAGAATCAAGTCCTACAAGCTGTCTTCTGATCTCTACAAGACTGCTGAGTCCTCCTGACCCCCAACACAATAAAAAACAAATGTGATTTTAAAGTCTGATTTTTGGAAATTTCATACATCTATTTTTTTTCTTGTCTTTTTGAGACAGGGTCTCCCTGTAGCCCCTGCTGGCTTGGAACTCTCTATGCAGATCAGGCTTTTCTTGAACTCACAGAGATTCACCTGCCTCTGCCTCTGCTTCTTGAGTGCTGGGACTAAAGGCATACACCACTACACCCGGTACAATACATCTTGATCATGTTTAGATCCCGCCCCCCATCTGTACGTCCCCATATTACCCCTCTGGTTTTTATGCATTTTGCCATATATTTTAAGAGCTATTGAACCAAGTCTGTGTCCTCAAATGTTCCTCTGCGAGTCTGTCCACTGGAGTCAGGCCAACCTATTTTAGCATCACTCCCTTAAAGATAACCAACTTGGGGCTGGAGAGATGGCTCAGCGGTTAAGAACACTGGTTGTTCTTGCAGAAGACCCGGGTTCAAATCCCAGCTCCCACATAGCAGCTAACAACTGCCCATAACTCCAGTCCCAGGGGATCTGACAGCCTTTTTTGACCTCCGGCATTGCACGACACAGGTACACTTACCTACATGCAGGCAATACATGCGTACACATAAAATAAAAAATAAGCCGGCTGTGGTGGCACACACCTTTAATCCCAGCACTTGGGAGGCAGAGGCAGGTGGATCTTTGTGAGTTCGAGGCCAGCCTGGTCTACATAGTGAGTTCCAGGACAGCTGGGGCTACAAGGAGACCCTGTCTCAAAAAGACCAAGAAATAAAATAAATAAAATAAAATAAAAAGATAACCAACTTTCCCTCTTCCAGAAGTCATGGGTCGCCAATATTTCTCAACTAAAGTTGGGGCTTCTGACCTATTTCCTCACTTTCTATGCTGGTTTTTGACTGGTCTGAGTTTGCACGAGTCTTGTGCATGCTGTCACCATTGCTCTAAGTTCATATGAGTAACTACCCGGTGTAAATGTTTTTTATTTTGCTTTGTTTTTGTCTATTTTGAGACAGGGTCGCCCTGTAGCCCCATCTGGTCTGGAACTCATTATGTAGACTGGGCTGGGCTTGATCTTACAGAGATCCACCTGCCTCTGCCTCCCAATTGCTGGGATTAAAGTGGTATGCCACCATGCCCAGCTGTAAATTTTTTTATACTCAGGGATAATAAATCATAAGGCTTAACTTATGCACCTTTCTAAGAATTGTGATGAGGACCTGGGAAGATGACTCAGTGGTTAAGAGTACTGGCTGCTCTTGCGGAGGACCCAGGTTCAGTTCCCAGCACCCACATGGTGACTAACAAGCATTTGTAATTCCAGTTCTGAGGAATCCAATGCCCTCTCTGGCCTCCATGGACATTGCATGCATGTGGTGCGCTTACATACATGCAGGCAGAACATAAAAATTAAATAAATAAAACAAAATTTAAATTTAAAAATCGTGATGAGGGCCAGGCATTGGTGGTGCATGCCTTTAATCCCAGCACTCAGGAGGCAGAGGCAGGCCGATCTCTGTGAGTTCAAAGCCAGCCTGGTCTACATAGTGAGTTCCAGGACAGCTGGGGCTACAGGGAGACCCTGTCTCAAACCCCCTCCCTAAAAAAATTGTGATGAGTCAGGTTGTTGGCCCACTTAGAAAACAGATAGGAAGATCAGGAGTTGACCAGACTGGGCTATGTGAGACCTTGCATTAGTAACTTTCCTGTTGCTGTGACTAAATATTTGATAAGAAGCAACTTAAAGGAAAAAAGGCTTATTCTGGTTTACACTTAGAGGGCACAGTCCATCATGGTGGGGAAGGCATGGCGGCAGGAGCATGAGGCAGCTGGTCATATCACTTCCGTAGTCAGGAAGCAGAGAGAGGTGAACGCTGGTGCTCAGATGGTGCCGCCATATTGAGTGTGGGTCTCCTCATGTCCACTGACCCAGTCTAGAAACTGCCTCACAGATGACTTTAGAATCCTCCAAAATGAAGATATTAACCATCCCAGACATCTCAGAAAAGAAAATAACTTCTGACTAGCAGTCTCGGCTCAGACCTGTCATCCCAGCAAAGGGGAGCCTGAGGCAGGAGGAGCACCAGTAATCTGTAGTCAGCCTGGGTTAGAGTGAACCCCCATCTCAAACAAAACAAAACAAAACCCAATTTCATGTACTTAATTCTGATGCTCTTCAATTCAGACTGAAGTTCTAACTTCATCCTATTAGACATCCCTGAAGCCTGAAAAACTGCTGTTAGCATAGCCTGGCTTTTTCTGCTGCCATCAAATGCTTTTAATTTAATTTTGCGCTGGGCATGGTGGCTCACACCTTTAACCCCAGCACTTGAGACCCAGAGGTAGGCAGGTCTGTGTGAGTTTGAGGCCACCCAGGTCTACAGAGCGAGTTCCAGCCCAGCTGGGGCTACAGGGAGACCTTGTCTCAAAAAGACAAAACAAACAAAAAAATTAATTTTGCCTAACACTTGTTTTTTTTTGTTTGTTTGGTTTTGGGGTTTTGTTTTGTTTTTTTTTTTGTCTTTTTGAGACAGACCCCAGCTGGCCTGGACCTATGTAGACCAGGATGGCCTCAAACTCACAGAGATCTGCCTGCCTGGGCCTCCAGAGTGCTAGGATTAAAGGCATGCACCACCATGCCCAGCTGCCTCACACTATTCTATTACAAAGTGTCAAAGGATATTTTTACTGGAATTCTGTAGAATTCCAGGTTGAAACTTTTATTTATTTTCATTTTTTGGTCTTTTTGAAACAGGGTTTCCCTGAAGTCCCAGCTGGCCTAGAACTCACTATGTAGACCAGGCTGGCCTTGAACTCACAGAGATCCACCTCCCTCTGCCTCCCAAGTGCTGAGACTACAGGCCCGTGCCACCACGCCCTGCTTATTTATTTTTATTTTATGTGTATGAGTGTATTTCCTGGATGTATATAAGTGCACCCATGTTGTGCAATGTCCGAAAAGGACAGAAGCATTGGATCCCCTGAAATTGGACTTATGGACAGTTGTTAGCCACCATGTAGGTGCTGAGATTCAAACCTAGGTCTTCTGCAAGATCTTACCCACTGGGCCATCTCTCCAATCCTGAAAGTTTTACTTTCAGTGCTAAAAATCATCAAGTATGCTAGGCATACTATCTAACATGGAGATATACCCCCAGCATTGGACTATTTTCTTCTGGCCTTTCATTTGTTTATTTAAATCTTGTTTGGTGTGGGTGTACATGGTGTGTGTTGTATGGAAAGCCCTCCCACTCTCCCCTTGATTGCCTTGAGGCAGGGTCTCTCACTGAACTGGAAATTTGGTGTTTCTGCTAGGCTGCTTGGGCATCCGGTTCTGAGCATCTGCCTGTCTCCACACATGTAACCATGTGCAGTTTTTTATGTGGGTGCTAGAGATTTGAATCTAGGCCCTGATGCTTGCAGATCAAGAACTCTTACCCACTGAGTCATCTCCC